TGCGCCCCTCCCATTCTCTTGGACGCCCCCCTTGGGGTCGCCCCTGGAGGAGCGCGACGCTGTCGGGGGTTCAGCGCTGGGGGGGAGCTTGCGCACATTGCCGGACGTTCCCAGGAATGTCCAGAAGTTTGCGACTGTTGTCGAGGCCTAGGGTGGTCTCCGGCCGCTGCGCCTCGTCGAGGGCGTTTCAGGGGTGTTGGAGTCGTCCCGAGCGGCCGCCGGGGAGCCGAGAGATGTTTCCGGGCCGATGTTTCTCCCCTCCCTCTGTCGGGTGCGGAAAAGAAGGGGGTGATGACTAGGGGGGGTGGATATCATGGCGGGGGCCATGATATCTCCCCAGATTTCGTGGCGCCTCTTCTTATTTACCTAACAGCGAAGACTGATAGGTTTCTATGGGGTCAAAAGAGAGCATCATGACTCCTCAGGGGGGTCGGGGCGGGACCCGGGGCGGGACCCGGCGCGGCTGCCGTCGAAGCCCAAATCGCTTGGGACATCCTCGCAAAATCGCTCTTGGCGCTGCTAGATCTCCATTCCCGGCGTACATTTTGGATGCCCGGAGCCAACTGTAGGCCACTTCGTGCTCTTCGACTTCCCAGAACTCCATTCCCGGGCCACATTTTGGATGCCCGGAGCCAACTGTAGGCCACTTCGTGGTCTTCGAGTTCCCAGAACTCCATTCCCGGGCCACATTTTGAATGCCCGGAGCCAACTGTAGGCCACTTCGTGCTCTTCGAGTTCCCAGAATTCCATTCCGGGCCACATTTGAATGCCCGGAGCCAACTGTAGGCCACTTCGTGCTCTTCAAGTTCCCAGAACTCCATTCCTGGGCCACATTTTGAATGCTGAGGCAGGCTGATGCTGCGGCCGAGGCAGGCTGAGGCTGAGGCAGGCTGAGGCGAGGCTGAAGGCAGACTGAGGCTGAGGCTGAGGCAGGCTGAGGCTGAGGCTGAGGCAGGCTGATGCTGAGGCAGGCTGAGGCTGAGGCTGAGGCTGATGCAGGCTGAGGCTGAGGCAGGCTGAGGCTGAGGCCGAGGCTGAAGGCAGACTGAGGCTGAGGCTGAAGCAGGCTGAGGCTGAGGCTGAGGCAGGCTGAGGCTGAGGCTGAGGCTGAGGCTGAGGCTGAGGCAGAGGCTGAGGCTGTGACTGCGACTGCCGTTGCCACTGCGACTGTCATCGCGAATGCGACTACGACTGCGAGAACAGCAGAATTCTACAACTGGATTCTCATCTGAATCTGAAGGGGAATGCTTTCAGATATGCTTCTACACATCGCTGTTAGGTTGCTTTGCCGGGATAATTTATTACGTCCCTGGCCCCTCCCCCGCTGGGCCGCGCACATGCCGCCAGTCATGATTTGCACCCCCCCCTCTTGGACACCTCCCTCTTGGCCGCTCCCGGCTCTGAGCCAGTTCCCACCCATCGTTCCCCCAGTCTGGAGAGCCGAAAACGGGATCGGTCGGACGGAACGGAAGGATTGGGATTGGGAAGTATGAGGAAGAGCCCCCTTGATTACGGAGGGAATGGGGATGAATGCTCAGCGCGTATCTTGGCCTTTTTGAAACTGAATTCGCTGTCGGTGTCCCCGAGGACGTTGCCCATTCGAGGCGCACGTTCCCTGCTCACCAGCGGCTGCTGCTGGTTGTGGTCATCGTTCGCTGCGGGGCGTCGTCTCCGTGCTTTCTGTCACTGCTTCGGGTATTACCGGTGGCGGGGTGTGTGTGTGTCAATCCCAGGACTCCTTTGAGGGTTGGGGACGACGTCGGAGTGGTGTGGTGCATATTTGTTCCCCCGCTCTCCCGGGGAAACGCGTCCGTGTATAGAGTTCGGCTCCTCATACATCACCGTGGCGAAAGTTTCTTTCAGTCTACTCCAGATTTCGTAATAAATGGAGGGGGGTCTCATTTCGGGGGGGGGTCTCTTCCAGGCTATCTTGGAGGGCCTGGGGGGTCTGGGGACAATGTTTTGGAGGGTTCTCCCACGGGGGAGGTCTGAAATGGCTTGTCTTGGAGGGTCCAGACCCCCTCCCTTTAATTACCAAGTCTGGAGTACCTTCGCCTCTAGCGCATCAGCGCGGAGCAGCTCGGCTTCTGACCGCTCCAACCACTCCGCGCGTGGGCGCACCCCGCTCGAGCACCCGGACTCCTCGGGACTGGAGCGGAGCAGTTCGGATCCGCTTGTGGGGTGACAGGGTTCTAAGCAGTGAGCGGATCGCCAATGCTCCGCCGAATGACACAGCCATCGTGTCGCGCGAGGAGTCTTCAGAGAGGGACAGGAGATACCACCATCATGGCAATTGGAAGAAACTTTTGCCTCGGCTGTGTACAGTGCCGTTTTTAAGACATGCTCCGCGTGCGGTTCATGTATACACATGCGGGGATTTAGTATCAACAACAACGATGAGTTCATGCATGAACTTATACATAAAATACTCATGTATTAAGCATCCCATGTTAAAAGCAAACCCTATCTATTAAAAACTGCCCTGTACGAGCTATCACCAGCATGGCAACTGGAAGAAACTTTTTGCCCCGGCCGTGTACTCCGACCCCACGTGGCCGGCCCCGTTCTCGGGTGCCTTCCGGCCCCGCGCCCGACCCGGGCGCCGTGGCTGGCCCGGGCTCGCGACGCGGCCTCGGCCGACGCATGGCAGCGGCTTGGCCTTGTCGGTTTCCCCGATTCCAGCGATTCGGACGACGACGATCCCGCTCGCGAAGCGAGGCTGTGGGTCGAATAGCGTCTCCATCGTTGGCCAACGCGTTTTGTCAAACCTCTGGCTAGTACGCGTGCGGCTGGTCTTTGTCAGGTCAAGAGGCGTTCTCCGACAGGTTTTCTGGGGGCCTCTGGAGGCTCCAGACTTCTAGGCCTCCCAGACGTGTTCGGAGCAGATGGGGTCGGAGGACTTCCTGTCTGCGCCGCCGCTGCGTCGCTGGTGCATCGCCGATGCACCGCCGATGCATCGGTGGTGCGTCGCTGATGCGTCGGCGATGCGACACGACCCTCCGACCCCGTCTGCCCGGACCCCATTTGGAAGGCCCCCAGCCTCCTGATGTTTTAGCAGGGGTGCCGTGTCTGTCGTCGAGCGTTCGCGGAGGCCCGTGGCGTTCTCCGAAGGCCGCCGGGGGGCTCGAGGGGGGTTTCGGTACCTCCTGGCCCTCCGCGGCTCCCGGCGTCCTTCGGACTTGTGCGGAGGGCCTCGGCCGTCTCCGACAGCCTTGGGCCGCTTCCGGATGCCCTCGGCCAGTCCCGAAGGTTTGCCGAGAAGGCCGGGGGTCTGAGATCGAGCAGGCTCTGGCTCGAGAGACGGCCGTCAAGCGCGGCAGGGCTCGTGCCGTCTTCTGGCTCGTCGTTTGCCCCCCCCCCCCCCCGCCTCGTTTCGCGGCGCTGCCTTGCCCGCCTCCTCCTCTGCCTCCTCCTCCTCCTCTGCCTCCTCCTCTCCTCCCTCCTCCTGTCCGCCTTTCAGGGGTCCTCTCGGCATGCTGACGGTCAGCACCTAGGAGGCCTCTGGAGGCCTCGCAGCGGCGACGAAGGCCCAAAAGTGGGCCCTCGAGGCTGCAGGATCCAGGGGCCCAGGATCGAGGATGGCGGGTCGAGGAGGGCTGGCGATCGGGGAGGATCGAGGATCGAGGAGGAGTTGATCTAGGCCTCCCAGATGGGGTCCGAGTAGGTGGGGTCGGAGGATCGCGCCGCATAGCCAATGCATCGCCGATGCATTGGCGACGTCGGCGTGGAGAAAGCTGGGCTCCACATCGCGCCGCATCGCCGATGCATCGGCGATGCGGCGCGATCCTCAGGCCCCGTCTACTCGGATCCCACTTGGGAGGCCTGGAGGGAGACGGCTTCCGGGCCCTGGGGCTGTTCCTGGGGACCGGCTGCCAGGACGGCGTCCCGAGGGAGGCTTTCACTGGAGGGGACGCCAACGGGGGCCATGACTCAAGGGAGGAAAACCCACCCGGACCGGACAATTGGCGCTTACTAAACGGCCTTGGGCGTTTGCTAAACAGCCCTGCCTTGGTCGATTCCTTCAGTGGGGGCGTTTCGCCAATCGCGTGTCGGGGTGCTTCTCATGGGGCTGCATAGTTTGCCCTCCAATGACCAAGACTGAACGCGAAAACGTCGTGCCGACCTTGGCCACCCGGGACGGGCATCGAGGTTACGGACAGGTTCTCTGGACGCCCGAAATGGGTACGGAAAGAATGGGTACAATGCCCAACAGCAGTCCCTGTTCATTTTGAACAGGATTCGCTGCCCACGCCGCCGCGGCCTGTGTCCATTCGAGACAGAAGGCGGCCTGTCCAACAGCGGCCGCTGTTGGTTTGGGACAACATTTGTTGTTGGGCATCGTGCGCATTTTTTCCTCTGAAGAAGGAACCCTTTTCGCTGGGGAGGGGCTCCGCGTGCCTTCAGTGTTTCACAGCTTGCCTCAGGTTTCCCTATGTTTCCGACGAGAAATCGAAGCTTAACCCTTGGGAAAAAGGGGCCTCGTTCCTTATTTTAGGGTTCCCTAGGTCAAGGCCCCGACTGTACCCGTTTCGGGCGTCCAGAGGGGACCTGCGCCCTGCCGGCAGGGAGCCCCGCCCCGCCCGCGGCGGCGCCCGCCGCGGCGCTGCGCCGCGGCGCGCCCCGGGCGCTGGCCGCCGCCCGCCTCGGGCAGGCCCGGCGTGCGCTGGTCGTGCCGCCGCCGCCGCCGCCGCCCGCCGCCCGCCGCCCGCCGCCCGCCGCCGCCCACCGCTGCTCGTCGTTGCTGCCGCCCGCCGCCGCCGCCGCCGCCGCCGTTGTCGCCGCCGTCGTCGTCGTCGCGATCGAGGTCGTGGCCCCTTTTTTGGGGGAGCAAGAGGTGGCATAAACATTAAAACTCGGAGGTCCGCGCGGACTTCTCGGATCCGCGCTGGACCTCCCTGGCGGCGCCTTCGGCGCCGCCCCTGGCGCGCTCCGCGCGCCAGGGAGGGGGGTCTAGCGCCGATCCGAGACATTCGCGCGGACCTCCGAGTTCTTATGTTTATGTCAGCGGCCCATTGGTAACATCGAGAACGCACTGCTGCAGTTTCACCTGCCGCTTACGTTGTCTGGCCTGATTGCATCCAGCATCTCGCTCTTCACGCTGATGTTCGCTGCTGGCGCGAACTCCTCCGCAGGTGCTGCGGCTCCGTTCGGCCAGCAGAAAAAGGCTTGCATCGACCTACGCTGAGGAACTTTCCCCAGCCAGAGGAACCGCTACCGCAACATGCGTTGCGCCCGCTGCCGCTCCCGCTGAGCTTGAGCCAGGCGATGCAAGTTGTTTCAGTGTCTTGACCGCCGGCATTCGTAATACCATGGCCGCTCAGTGACCCCGCCGCAGAACAAGTTAACACGCCCTTATTTTGATGAAGAGTGTTGGACAAACAGTTGCAGACGTTCAGAAGGCCCCTCTGTCATTGAAAGCTCGTGCCGGTGGTTTGGTCAGCGCAGGAGAAGGATTTGAGAGTTTTGCTGCTACTGACGGACGTGCTTTCCGAAGCGCCGCAGGTTCAGCCAAATCTACCATTGAACCACCGTCAGTGAGATGGCCAGGAGCAAAAGTAACATGTTGTGCATCATGGGTTGCCAGTGCACGGATGGGGGCTGATATGGCGGAGTACATGGGGCAGGCCCCAGTGGCATGCTACATCGTCGGGGTCAAAGAAGTGGTTGCAGTAGGGGGCTACACGGCTACGCCGATCGATTAACAGTTGGGCTCGGCACGTCTCTGATGATTTGGGGTTGCCCAGTAAAGACGAATCGCTAAAAGGTTCAGCTCGCCTCTCGCCGCCGCCAATCGCCCGCCCTGCCCGCACTAATTACGGGTACCCTCACTCGTTTCGGCTTATCGTCGACAAGTAACGCCAGGAACTGTCTTGCCAAGACCGCGCCCTGCACGCCAAAGGCACCTCGAGGCTGGCACACCAGAGCAGGTGGTGTGATCTTTCGGGTGAGAGTCTGAACGCCACGGCCGATGCGACCAGAGGCGTGGGGCCCATCGTGCTGTGCAGGGAGCGCCTGCCGCCCGACACCACGCCGACGAGTCCACTGAGAGTTTGGATCCGCAGTGTCGCCCCCCGGGACCTCAAGATCGCGGCCGGTGCTCCGGGGCGGCTCGCGGCTTCGGGCGCACCCTGTGACCAAACTCAACGCGCGGTCGGGCGAAGAGAACTATGCACATGCACCGATCCTGGCAAGGCCCATCCTTGACCCAGGATCGGTGCATATGCCTTCCTGGCCACGGTAGGAGGGCGTATGCACCGATCCTGGGCTCAGGATGGGCCTGGCCAGAATTGGTGTATGTGCATAGTTCTTGTTCCTCTACGCGGTGGAGATCAATGATCCGCCCCGTCGGTTGTGCTGAGACACTGGGCTGTTTTGCTCCGGCCGACCACGGGGCGGTCGCCCGTCGCGTGGTCAGTGCCTCCCAGCCCACGGGGCTGCTGGAGGTACTCCAGATTTCGTAATAAAAGGGAGGGGGTCTGGACCCTCCAAGACAAGCCATTTCAGACCTCCCCCGTGGGAGAACCCTCCAAAACATCGTCCCCAGACCCCCCCAGGCCCTCCAAGATAGCCTGGAAGAGACCCCCCCCGAAATGAGACCCCCCTCCCTTTATTACGAAATCTGGAGTACCCTTCAGTCAGTGAGGTCGCCCTCACTACCAGCAGTGGTTCCCCAGCCACCGCTGCCAGCTGCTGGCTTGTTTTTGTCACTCGGCTGTGCGGGCGTCGAGCTCAAACAAACATCTTCTGGTGCTTGCAGGCGCCCATTCAGCGACGACGCCTGAAGAGCCTCGTGGGGGGGCTGGACTTGTCGGGAGCAAGGTTTCACTGAGACGTCCTTCGTCTGCAAGAGTTCACCGACGCGAGAGTTTTGGCATCGACGAGATAGCCAGCCAGCCATGCTATGATCCTAGGGCTCCCTATACGGGGGCGGTAGGAGACCAGCGACCACTCTGCACAAGACGTTCAAGCCTTGCATATCAACTGGCCCCGTTCGTCAGGCGAACAACATAGCCGCGAGCATCATCACCCCCCAGGGTGGACCGCTTTCGATCGCGTGGGGAAATGTCGTTTCGGCTTCAAATCATCGCACCGAGTGCTATCGGGATATCGAGGAATTGCCAACAGTTGCTGGCCAACGACCTGGAGGTGTCTCTCCGCTGAAAAATGTAGATTCTAACGCCTCCTTCGATTCGGACCGAGCCCCTGCCACTGCCGTGGGTCCCCACACCGCTGGGGCGCAATCCTGGAAGACGGAAGCGCCCCGACAGTTCGTCGTCCGCATTTGCATCGGTCTGTGCAACGCATGAGCGACGCAGATCAAGGGTTCGATTGAGACGACATTTGCGCGAAGTTGCCCGCGTAAGATGGCGCGTGTTCGCCTTCGCCTCCAGGGTAGCGCGCCGCGCTGGCTGCCCGCGTGAACCGCGGCGTAAGGTCTCCATGCCATCTGGAGTAAGACGCCTTTCTCTTTGTCGCTCGCTCGCTTGGTCTAGCGCGCCAGTGGCAGCGCGCGTGCCTTTACGTCTGCAAGTGCGAGGGCCAGCCGGTTGAGTGCGCGGTGATCGGCGGAGGACCTTGTGAGGAAGCCTGAACCCGAGTTTGCAGCGAACGTTGCGCGCAGTGTCATGTCCAAGCCCGTTGGCTGGATGATGCGCGAACGTTTTTTGTTTCGGTGCAGGTTGAAGATGCATTTCGGATCGAAGTTCGCCAGAGTTAGGTATTGGTGCCGCTTGTCCAGTGGCCTTCGGCCCCTTTCGCCGACGTGCCTGGGTTGTGGGCGTGAGTCCTACTGTACAGTGCCGTTTTTAATATATACATGCTCCGCGTGCGGATCATGTATAAAAAATGCAGGGTTTTCGTATTAAAAACAACGATGAGTTCATGCATAAATTTATTCATGTATTAATCAGGTATAAACAAACAATATCTTAAACAAATCCTATGTATTAAACATTGCCCTGTATGTTCGTGGGGGGCCTCTCGGGGGCCTCCTGGAGGTAGTTCTGCAGCCCCTTGGGGGCCGGTCTGGGGCCTCAGGGCATCTTTTTTGGCCTCTTGGGGCCTCTTGGGGGCGTGCTGGGGCGCTCCTGGGCCGTCCGAGGAGCTCCACCAAGAAGACCCCCGCGGCACAGCCTGCATGGCGCATCCGCGCCCGATGGGCCCCACAGAGAGAGCTCCGCCGAGGGCCCCGATGGCACAGCCCGCGTGGCGTGCCCGCATCGGGTGCGTGGCACCCCCCCCACACGTCTCGTGGCCCCACGGGGGGGCTCCGCCGAAAGCCCCAGCGGAGCAGTCCGCATGGCGTACCCGCGCCCGACTTGGCACACCCTTGGCACGTTTCTCGGCCCCATGGGGAGGTCCTGTGCATGCCCCAATGGCAGCGCCGCCGGCATGGCGGCCCCGCCCCCCACTTCGGCACATCCTTCACCCGCATCGTGGCACCATACGGATACCCGCTGAAGGCGATGCCCACAACGACGCTACTCACAACTGCATGTGGTTCGGTCCTTTGGCAAAATAATTGTCAACAGTTGCGTTTTGCAGGCAGTCTCCAGACGAAACTCCAGGGCTTGGGCTGCTATCGGAGAGAACCGTGCGAGGTTATGCAATAAGACTGTCATTTGGGACAGCGTCTTGGGCTTGTGGTCCCTGTCGCGAGGCAGACCGCCTTCTTTTTCTTCGGCTGCCTGAATTTCACCGGGTTCACCTTCGTCAACGTTGAGTTGCCCAGTACCGCCTGATGAAACATACTTTGAGGTCAAAGAAGTGCGAGGAGGATGCTATGAAGGAGAACATAGACATGATTGTCAGAACAATCAAAACAGTTCATGGCCCGTGGGACGACCACGTTCTGATGCTGGGTCACCCTGGGGCTGGGCGCATCGCTAAGATGAAGGTGTATGATCCCGATTGTATCGTGCATCGGGTCTCCAAGTATACGGATTTCGGATTTCCTATACTTCCGACATCTGGAATCACCATCGGCTGTCAGGACCATCGTTACATGTTCCACGCCAGGCGGGGGCGAAAACCTATTCGTTGACTACTACGGCGGCGCCTCGAGGGAGTATGCGGTCGACGCTGACCAGTGGACGGACCGAAAGCGCTTGGCTAACGTTCGCAAAGACTTGCTCGAATGACAAACTAAATCCAAAGGAGGAGGAGAGGAGGGGAGTTCGCTTGGGGTCGCTTGAGCTTGCAGCATTGTGCCGTATTAGCCCCAGATCCGAGTTCTTTCTGTAGATCGATTTGTGGGGAGTATTTTGTTTATCAGCCATCCGTTAATGATCTTTTCAGCCTGGACAGCCAGGCTCTCTCCCTCACTCGTTGGAAGCATGAAGGCCGAGTCAAGTGGTCGTCATGGTCGTGGTCGTCGTCGTCGTCGTCGTCGTCGTCGTCGTGTTCGCCGTCGTTGTCGTCGTGGTGCTCGTCGTCGTCGTGGTGCTCGTCGTCGTCGCAGCTTCTCGAATGGAGTCGCATCAGGCGGGGTCGGAGGATTTGGCCGCACCGCCGATGCTGCGGAGGTGCGGCCCGGTGTGGAGGCCGGTGTGCTCCGCGCCGGCGTCGCATCGGCGATGCGGCGCGAGCGTCCGAGGCCATCATCGGGGGGGACGGAAGTGGTACACCTTAGGCTATGCTTAAGAGAACCTAAGTTTTCGGCCAGAGTCTCGATTATTCTTAATGTTTCAATGTAAATCCTAAGATTTGAATGGGCATTCTGGGTTTAAATTTAGATTCTGAGACTATCAATTTCTTAACCCATGATTTCTAAAGCATTTCGCAGGGTGTACTCCAGATTTCGTAATGAAAGGGAGGGGGTCTGGACCCTCCGAGACAAGCCATTTCAGACCTCCCCCGTGGGGGAACCCTCCAAAACATCTTCCCCAGACCCCCCAGGCCCTCCGAGATGGCCTGGAAGAGGCCCCCCCCCGAAATGAGACCCCCCCTCCCTTTGTTACGGAATCTGGAGTACGTAAACAATGGGCACAATGTCCAACATCAGTCTATGTCCACTATGGGTGGGATTCGTTCTGGGCGTCGCCGCGGCCGTTGTCCGTTTGGACCACAGGCTCTTTTGCCCAGCTGCGGCCATTGTCGGTCTTGGAGTGCACCTGTTGCTGGGAATCGTGCCCATTTGTTCCGTGTCCATTCCGGGCGTCCACAGCACCCGTTTCCACCCCCGTTTGGGCGGCCTCCTAAGCATCGTACTCATTTTTCCGTGTCCTTCTCTCGGCGGCGAGCGAGGGGGGGAACTGAGAAGGAGAAGGCCTTCTCAGAAGGCTCGGAAGTCCCCCGGCCTTCTGAGAAGTTTTCTAAGCCTTCCCCGACGACGGACAAAAACTTCTCAGAAGGCGCGAGGGTTTCTGAGAAGTCCTGCCGCCTTCTGAGAAGGCCTTCCCCTTCTCACTTCCCCCCTTCGCTCGCCGCCAATTCTCGGGCGTCCAAGCATTCCCCATCTGAGCGGCCGCCGAGCTCGCGCGGGCCCGCGTGGGAGCCTGCCGTCCTCGGCGCTCTTCGGGCGCGCCCTCCTCTTTGGCCGCCGCCGCGGCGGTGGGCCCCTCGTCGCGTCGGCTGGGTTCGCCTCGGGCTCCTGTGGGTGTCCGCTGGGATTGGAAATGCCCCCCAGGACTACAGCTGAGGCTACGAGTGCGGCACGCTCGCTCGTCCTCAAGGCCTCGGCTCGGTGCATGTGTTTGCCTGTCGCAGGTCGGCTCGCGTGGTGTTCCCAGTTTGCCTGGCGACCTTTGGTTCGCACAGTGGTCGAGAGCAAGTCGGGTGAAGCTCTGTGGTCGCGTTCCCCCCTCCTCTTCCCCACAAAAAAGTTGAGGCCACGAACACAATCGCAACATACTATAACACATAGTGGATACAGGCAATGTACAGACAGTACACAAAACATGCATCGAATATGCATCAGAGCATGCATTGAACTTGCACAGGTAATGAACTACTAATCTATTGAACGATGAGGACCACGTCGTGGAACAGCTGTGCCGTCGGAGGTCAGGGTTTGTCGTCGTCTTCGACATCGTTGTCGTGGTCTTCGACGCTGGCTTCGTCGCCGTCTTTGTTTTCGTGTTCGTCTTTGTTGCTGTACTCCCACTCGTCATCGTTTGATGCTCCTTCTCTTCTTGGTTCTGCTCCTCCTCCCCCTCCCCTCGGGGGGTTGACGACGATTCTGTTTCTAGTGGCTTGCGGCCCACCCCGCCGCTGTGTTGAGGGGCTTTTTGTGGGACATCTTTGGATGACCTCACGAGACCGAAAAGGCCTGGTTCGAGCGTTGACTCGGGCGGGTCAGGTTTTGGGCATTCACTGCACAGCGCCAAGGCGCGGTACACCTCCAGAGATCCTAGACATCCGACGTCGTGGTTTTTCCCGCAATGGGGTTCTTCAGAGATCTGGTTTTGTTGGCTGGGACCGGCTTCTCTTCTCGAGTCGCTCTTTGACAGCCCAGGGGCCCGGTGTTGCCCGCAGCGGCCGAAAACGGCCAGAACCTTTCCTTCGGGAACTTGTCACGACGCGAGGATGTCAGGGGTCTCCGGCTTCTGGAGGCTTTCTCCTCCCTCCAGAGAGGGCCACAGACGGCAGAAATAAAAAAAAACCTGCGGACGAGCATCTGGAAAACCCCTCCGACAAGCCCCCGCCGCGGCAGCCGCGGCTGCTGCGGCCGCCGCGTCGGCGGCGGCGGTGGCGGCATCGTCGTCGCCGTCGCCGTCGGCGCCGTCATCGCCGCCGCCGCCGTCGTCGTCGCCGCCGCCGCCGCCGACGCCGTCGTCGTCGCCGCCGCCGCCGGCGCCGGCGGCGCCGTCGTCGTCGGCCTCCGCCCTGGCCGGCGCCGCCCCCGAGGCCCCGGGCGCGGGGGCTGCGGGCGCGGCCTTCGCCGCCGGGCTCCGGGCGGGCGCCGCGCTCGGCAGGGCGCTGCGGGAGTGGCGGGCGGCGGCCGCGGAGGCGCGGCGCTCGAGGGACCGCCCCGCTGCCGTCGTGCGCCGCCGCCGCTGGCGGCGGCGGCGGCGCCGCCGTCGTCGGTGTCGTCGTCGTCGTCGTCGTCGTCGTCGTCGTCGTCGTCGTCGTCGTCGTCGTCGTGGACGTCGTGGCGCTTGAGGGGCCGCCCTGCTGCCCGCCGCCGCCGCTGCCGCCCGCGAGAGCCTGGCGTAGCAGTTGTTTAGCACCACGGGAGTTTCCGCCCCCGGGAGTTGCCGCCCGGGTTCCAGCCCCGGGATCCTACCTCAGCGGCGAGCGAGGGGGGGAAGTGAGAAGGGGAAGGCCTTCTCAGAAGGCGGCGGGACTTCTCAAAATCCCTCGGACCTTATGAGAAGTTTTTTGTGTCTTCGGAGAAGGCGTAGAAAACTTCTCAGAAGGCCGGTGGACTTCCGAGCCTTCTGACAACGCCTTCTCCTTCTCGCTTCCCCCCCTCGCCCGCCGCCGATGACCAGGTCGATCCGGCTCGAAATATGAGGCAGAATTGTATGGTCCGGGGCCGTCCTGGTGTTTTTTTTTTGCCATGCTGAGATGTTTTATGGCTTTCGATCTTGGGGAGCCACCGCCGCCGCCGCCGCCGCCGCCGTCGTCGTCGTCGTCGTCGTCGTCGTCGTCGTCGTCGTCGTCATCGTCGTCGTCGTCGTCGTCGCGAGACAGCATTGGCGCCTCCTGCCCCGATCTCAGACCTTCAGGACCGCGGCAGGTCGGTCTGGCTCGAGAGATGAGGCAGTCAGGAGGGCTCGATGTGCACACCACGTCGTTTGGTCGGCCAAGGAGCCAGTGAATTCGTCTAAGGAATTCTGTGTGCAGACGCTCCAGCACCCCACTGGTCGAGAAGCTGGGGCGTCACACCGAGCCCCTTTGCCGACTAGACGACTTGGCATGCCAAGGGCGCCCTCGAGGGCGCGAAGTTATTCGTGCTTCAAGCTTCGTGGTTCGCTGTTCGGCTCCTTCTCTTCATGCTCCTCTTCTCCCCTAGGGGGCGGCACGAGGGCGCGAAGCAAACGCACTTCGCGCTTCGCGCAGCGCGACGTGCGAACTTAGGTGCCCTTGCATACATACACTGCAAGCTCCTTCCAAGCAGGAAGACGGGGTCGCGGGCTCTGGTGCTCAGGCAGGCCGATGGTGAAGAGACAGTCGGAGCGAGATATGCGATCGAGGCCGGTTCGGGGAGGGTCACTACCCTAGCGTTCTTCTTCTTGTCTGTTGGATGCTCTTGTGCATCCCGGGGAGGATACCCTTGGATGTTCTGTGTGCTTTGGCCGGCGGAGGGTCTCCTGCTCTTGAAGGACGCTTAAAACGACGCGAAGATCGGGATAACATCGGATCGGGATAACTCGAAGTCTCTGAGAATCGGCGGGTCTGGAGGACGTATTGGGCGCCGCGGCCGCTCCAGAGCGTTCCGGAACGCTCTGAGAGCGCTCCGGAACGCTCTGGAGCGATTTATCCCGATCCTAGCCCTGTTTTAAGGAGCGCTGTTCCAGCTGAGCGGGGATAGTGCTTCTTCTGAGCGGGGCTGCTTCGTTTCTCGGTTTGTTTTCTCGCTGACTGTCGGCCTCGTTCTGTTGTTCGTTTTCGTTGGGTACCCGTTTCGTTCTAGCCCTGTTTTAACGTTCTTCTGGCCCAGGTCCGACTGCACACTTCCGGCTCTTTCCGGGCGGGGAGCTGGGGGCCGCGGGCTCCGCTGCCTGGGCAGGCCAGCGGTGGCGATGATGCCCTGCTCCAGGGGCGTCCGGGGGCGCTCGCCGAGTGCCTGTTATAGGTGTGTCATATAATGCAATGGCATTTGTGTGTCTGTAATGCATGATAGCGGGATGTAAGATCATGTAATGGAGGGTAGTCATGTAGTGCAATCGGATGGGAATTCGTGTAATAGAATTTAATGTCACCTAATTGAATACGATCTCAGGTAATGTAATGGAAGGTATTCATGTAATGCAATCGATTGAGAATTCGTGTAATATAATTTAATGTAACCTAATTGATTACGATCTCATTTAATCTGACATGATCGATGTATGTATGTGCGTATGTTTGCATGTGCGTAGTTGTGGGTATGTATGTATATTTGTATGTATGCGCTCGCGCCCCCGAGCGGCCGCGGCGGCCCGCCGCATCCCTCGGCGTCACGGTGGCTCAGAGATTCCCGGCTCGTTCGATCAGATGTTGTCCCCATCGAGGGCTTGCAAACAGGGTCCGCGCAGGTTTTGCGGCCTACTTGAGGAGGCAGGGGTCTGATTAGAAGCTTTTCGGACGGGGCCAGGACGAGAATCAATCGGTTCCAGAGCGTTCCAGAACGCTTTCAGAGCGTACTGGAATGCTCTGAGAAGGCCGCGGCGCTCACGACATCCTCCAAAGCCGCCAGATCTCAGAGATTCTCGATTTGTCCACGCCCGAATTCATCACTTTCCTGGCTTCGCCTTAGCCTTCCTGCCTTCCGCGAAGCCCTCGGAGAGGCTTGAGAGCCCGTCCTGAGAAGCCCCCTGCCCCGCTTCCTTAGAAGCCCCCCCCAACCAATGTCGCCCACGATCAGTCCCTCGGTCCGACCACCCATCGGCACAGGTTCGGTGGTAGTCACTCTGGCGCGTCCCGCCATTGCCTTCGCTGAGTTGGATCAACTGGCCGCGAAGCAAACCAACGTGTTCGTGTGTGTGTGTGTGTGTGCCCTCCTGTCCGATCCAGCCAGGAGGGCGCACTGATACTGGGCCAATCAACATGTAGGAACTTGGCCGCCTTCACAGGCGAGCCGAGGCTTCTTAACCAACGGGGGTGTCCGGCCCAAAGGCGCTTACATCCCCAAATCCAGAAGGAGGGACGGAGGGAGGGAGGGAGGGAGGGAGGGAGGGTGGGCGGGCGGTCGTGCGGGAGGGAGGGCGGGAGGAGGAGGAGGGGGAAGAGGAGGAGGGGAGGAGGGGGGAGGAGGAGGAGGGTGGCGGAGGAGGAGGAGGAGCAGGAGGAGGGAGAGGAGGAGGAGGGGGAGGATGAGGAGGGGAGGGGGAGGAGGAGGAGGAGAGGAGGAGG